CAGGTTTGCATGGATATTGACAGGTATTTTTTTTAAAATATCATACCTTTTAATGTTGCTACATTGCTTGCCTACTTCAATATGCTGCGGTCTGTAGGATTGTATGGGAGAGGGTTGAAGGCACCTTCCATGTATGAGTTGCGAACATGGATTTTAAAGAAGGAGCTGCATAACACAGAGCGGAGCATTGATGAGATTAAAAGGACATGGATTGAGACTGGTGTAACCATTATGTCAGATGGATGGTCTAACAAGAAGAGCAGAAGCTTGATTAACATCCTTGTCAACAATTTTAAAATTGCGCAATATGAGGCTCGACTTAAGGCCCACCTTTGCGCAATTCCAGTAAAAAAAGCCTCAATGCTTACGCCTCGAGTTTTTTTTATGAGGCTTGCGCCTTAACTTGGTTGAGGCCCGCCTTGAAACCCGCCTCGCCTCATTGGCATGAGGCTTACGCCTCACGCTATATATATTAAACTTACATAAATCTTGAAGTAAATGTCCGACATTGGACTCTATAGGAGAGAATGAGAGAGAGCAGTTCACCATACTCATGATTCAAATGAAAAACCCCTTAGTGATTACAATGCTGATGACTTATGAGTTCTTATGTGATATGTCATTGATATTTATTTTTTGAAATTGGAATTATATGTTAATAAAAAAAATACTGGGATTTAGGAAAGATAGAATTTTGAGTTGAACTACATTTCATGTTGTCTTATTATTGAGATATTTTGATTTCACGTCATATCTTATGCTTTTTTATATTTTATATTATTCACTCATTAGTATATAAAAAAATTATCATTTTAGGTTTACGCAATCTGTTGATTTTGAGGCTTAAGCCTCAAAACGCCTTGAGGCTTACGCCTCGCCTCACGAATGAAAAACGCTTCAATACCCGAATACGCAATTTTAAACATTGGTTCTTACATTTGTGCACTGTAAATCTATAGGTTTGCATTTACCACATCTTATTTGACACTGCAGAGCCTGATGGAAGTGAGGCAAACTTTGGAAGCAATGTTTACATCAACTGAACGGCTTAACTCTGCTTGGGGAAAGAAAAGTGAGGGGAAGGAAATAAGAATGATTATTCTGAATGATAAATTTTGGGCTACTGTGACCTATGTCATATTGAGTACGAGATCCTTAGTGCAAGTACTACGCTTAGTGGATGCAGAGAAGAAACCAGCTATGGGTTTTATTTATAATGCTATGGATGAGGCCAAGGAGTTGATTGCACACAACTTGGGAGGAGAGGAGGCAAGTTATAGAGAGATTTGGGATATCATTGATGCTCGGTGGGAGGTGCAGTTACACCGTCATCTACATGCAGCGGCATATTATTTAAATCCTCAATTTCAATATTCAGAGAAGAAATCTTCAAACCCGGAGGTGAAGCTTGGTCTGTATCATTGTATGGAAAGACTAATACCGAAGCAGGCAGATAGGGAGCTTGCAGATTTACAACTTGTTCTATTCCGAAATAAAGAGGGTTTTTTTGTCTGAATGCAGCAAAAACAACTATTGTCAAACGGTCTCCAGGTATAGTTATTTTAGTAAATGCAAGATCCTTTATTCAGTTCTGAATTCTAATTATATTTTTTCTTCTTGAAAACGGATGAATGGTGGATCCAATTTGATGATTCCACTCCTGAGTTACAGAGTTTTGCTGTAAGAGTGTTGGGCCTCACTTGTTCTTCTTCTGGGTGTAAGCGAAACTGGAGTACATATAGTCAAATACAAACAAAGAGAAGAAATTGGCTATCAACACTCAGAATGAACTCCCTCGTATATATTATGCACAACAAGAGGTTAAGAGATAGGAGGTTGAGGAATAAGGGGTTGAAGGATGATGATGACCCGTTGGTGTGTGATGATGTGTCATATGATAATGAGTGGTTCATAGATGATGAGACAGATTTGCCATTATCAGACTTACAGCTAGAAGATCTAAATGTGGATGTCTTAAGGGGCAAAGCAGATCAAGTGGGCACATCCACTAGTTCCACACCACACACATCCACTAGCTCTGCAGCACAACAATCAAGTAAAGGTATTCCACAACTTCTTATATGATATCGCATTATATTTATATCAAGTGAGCAATTAACATGATAATGATCTTTTCTCTTATTGAACAGGGAAGAGAAAAGTGAGTCATATTGAAGATGATGATAATATGGCATTCATAGATACAATTGGAGAAGAAGATTCTCTTGAAGACCCATTTAGTGATAGGATATGATTGTATTTTATATGTTCTTTGTACTTTGGAAGTTTTGTTGAACTAATATTTTATGATTTTACTTTATGACATGATTTTATTGCATCTATTTTGTTACTTTCCACTATTTTCATATATCATTTAGATATTTTTATTGTAAGATAGAATATTGCTATTATTATCCTGCTAAATTCTTTAATTTCTCATTTACGCAATTCTGTGTCCGTGAGGCTTACGCCTCAGACCGCCTCGACGATTACACCTCGCCTCACGGACGAAAACCGCCTCGAGGCTTAATTACGCAATTTTAAACCTTGGCTACAAGAGTTTCATGAGAGCGTTGTTGGTGGTAATTCTTGTGTGTAGAAGACATATAAAAGATTGACAGCAGAAATAAATTAGAAGGGGATGCATAGGGAAGTGGAGGAGGTGGCTAGGTGTGAGATATACCAGTGAAATAAGCACATGGCTATAGCTCTCATGGGATTATTTCAACCCCTAGCTCTTCCATGCAAAGTATGGGAGGACACCATGAATTTCATAAATGAACTACCCTGATCTAAGGGGTTTACAATGATTCTGGTGGTGGATGACAAGTTGAGCAAGTATGCTCATTTCATTCCTTTACAGCACCCCTACAAGGCAATGACAATAGCAGCAGCATTCATCAAAGAGGTGGTTAGATTGCATGGGATCACATAGTCGATAGTTTCTAACCGGGATAAGGTGTTCCTCAGTTAGTTCTGGAAAGAGTTATTCAGGTTGTAGAGAACAATTTTAAAAAGAAGCATTGCTTACCACCCTCAAACAGACAGGCAGGCAAAGGTGGTAAACAAGAGCCTGAAGACTTACTTTTGGTGTTTTGCTTTAACAACATCTCGCTTGTGGGTCAAATTACTAGCATGGGCGTAGTACTAGTACAACATTTTATATCATTCAACTTCCCAGATGACCCCATTCAAAATATTGTACGAAAGAGACCTCCCACACTTAGTGCATTTGGGCGAAGGAGCACACCAGCCTCTTCAGTAGAGCAATACTTGGAGGAAAGACATAGGGTGTTGGAGAAACTAAGTGTGCACTTATTGAGGGCACAGCATATTATGAAGAAGCTGGCTGATGGATGCCAGAAGGACATCCATTTCGAAGTAGGAGAAAGGGTGTTCTTAAAGCTACGGCCCTACAGACAGAGTACAGTCGCCAACAGGAGGAATGAGAAGCTTGTCCTAAGGTACTTTGTCCCATACGAGGTATTGGAGAGAATTGGAGCAATGGCGTATCATTTTAGATTACCCTCGACTGCGACTATACATCTAGTGGTCCACGTGTCATAACTGAGGAGAACAATTAGGGATCATGCAGCTAGTTCAGAGTTATCTATGATATTGATAAAGGACTTAGAGATAGTATTAGAACCACTAGAGTTGAGGGGAGGTCGACAGGGAGAATAAGGGACTAAGGATGCACTATTTGAATATATTTAGGAGGGGGAAATTAGGCAAGGAATTAATTTGTGAGGGAGTTGTTTAGTAATTTGCTTTGTTATTTGTATGCTTTAAATAGAGAGGTTTACTCTAAGGTTAGAATATGTGTTGATTTTGCTGAATTTTGATTGTTCTTAGAAGTTTTGGGCTCTAGCCGGCGGCTAGGGATTTGGGAGAGCCGGATCTTCCTCTCCAATAGAAGATCAATTGTATCTTGTTTATTTTAGTTTGTTTCTTACATAGTTTCCTAATCGTTTCTTATATATGTTTTCTATTAAGTTTCCTTTTGTTTATGTTGGTTTATGTTTTATTGAAGGAAGTGTCCTGTTGCAAATATAATGTTCTCCTACTTGACTGTAGAATTTAGTTTACATCACAATTTCATACCTCTTTTTTCAAACAGCAAGAAGAACTCTTAAACAGCAGTTCACCTAGAGAAGTAAATGCCTGGAAGTTATGGTGCGAAGGTATTAACGCCAACTGAAAAGGCGTAGAAATTATGGCAACTTCACAGCTATTTGTTTTAATCAAAATTAGAAAACATGATTAAATTATGTGTCTAAGTTTTAATCCTGCCTCTTATCTATTTATCCTTCGGCTAGGGTGTAATTGTCCAAGATCTTGCATTCTTTTATTCTCGGAGACTTTATTAGCTTGTCAGGTGTACTATTGCACAGTTTTCAAACAATAAACAGGTTCGGGCTACATGATCTCGGTATAACTAAATCATATCTAACTGGCAACAGCTTTCTCACGATTCAAGACAAAGTAATTCAAGGCAAGAGTTCATCCTACAAAATATCATGCACTATTAACATATCAACAGAACATCACTTATGCGAGATAAAACCATAACATGATACATTGTCAATTGGTAACATCAATTATGGATATTGATTGTATCAATGGTTTATATATAACTTTTTCAAAGAGAATGATAAAAAAACAAACCTTCATCACAATACAGTCATCCAATTCCCCAAATTTGCTCATGTATTGCCTCAATCCTGCGGTGTCCACATCCCAAGGAATCCCAAGGACCTGTCAACAGAATCCACTTCAGAAATTATAAAGAATGGAAGACAAAAATAGAAAGCTTTGGTAGAGCAAGGGCTGGATACTAACCACGAGCTTGGTCGCCATAAAAGCAGAGAAGGGAAAGCCTGAAGAAAAACACACTCACTCCCACTCACTCTGACCAGATTAGAGCTCCACTCACTCCTCGAATCCTTTTCTCGCGTTCCTCTCAATCGCCCCTCAGAGGGAACTCATATATAAAAAACTAGCTATCCTCGTTCCTCTCTCAGGTCACCGCAATCTCTCAATGCCACACTCTCCTGCAGTACACAATACAGAGTAATTGTTCTTTCATACACATTCCTTCTCTAGGGCTTCTCTTCTTGGATTCTCGATCTATATCGGAGACGAGAAGAGGAAAAAATAGAAGAGGTGACGAGGAAGGCATAATTACTACGACTAGGGATGAGAAGATCGCAGGCTCCTGGTGACGCTCTTGCCTCGCTCGACGCTCCCCAGCTCTCGCCCCTGCCTTTCTCTCGCACTTTTTCTCGATCAATCTCGCTTACTCTCTCTCTCTCTCTCTGTCTCTCCGCACCGGCGTTTCGTTGCGCCAACACCTACACCTCCTCGCAGCTCGCATGCGCCTTTTGCCCTTTGGCTACTCTTTATATATGGGGGAATAGAAATACGCATTTCCATCATCAATTCGCACCGTTTGATCAATTAATTTCAGCCGTACGATTAACAAAACATCCGATGTTATTATCTCCATGCAAGCTACATGGTCAAATTAAAACATGTACAAACCTTATTTTACGCTCAAATTTCTTGTTGTGATTAATCATTTAATTGTGATCAACGCAGTATTTATTTGTATTTGAAATATCTTATAATAAAATACAAAAGTACTTTAATATGTTTTATTTGCACTCAATCAAATATATCATATGTTTTTAAATTACATTTTAATAATTTTATAATAAAAATATTCAGCCAAACAATCATTAATAAATCTAATTACACACTAAAATTTATTAACAGGCAGTATGATTCCATGCCTTGAAAGTTAAGAGAAGAAAAAAGAAAAAAATAATAATATTTTTTTAAGTAGAGAAATTACATAGCGGCCGAGAAGTTTTTAGAAAATTATATATATGAAAAAAATAATTTTAATTGATAAATCACAAGAAAATCTATCTAATCAAGCACAAATCTCAATATAATACTTTAATTAAAAATTTTCAAAATTAAATTTATGATCATTCAAATTTGAATTTCAATAAATATATAGTCGAACTAAATATCTCAATAAGATGAATTTGACGACACTTTAGGTGGTCTGATCCAAATACAAATGAGCCAAAAATTTTGTGCATGAAATATAGTTGGATACTCCATGACATTAATTGACTGTCCAAATAATCTCAGAATTAAAATGATTTATATGGAAACACAGTTCATCATCAAAGTACACAAAAGTACCTATTAGGAACTCATCTTCCTCGGGGATTCATATAGTGAATTTGATGTCCTTAAAGTTGTAGAATCATACTATCAAGTTGGCCAAAAGTGGAGTGGCATTAGAAGGTTAAAGTGTGCCCAACCTTCATGTATTCCTTGTATCATGTTAACAAGGGTGCCATCCTTAGAATAATAGTGGTTGGAGCAATGAGAAGAAAGGAAAAGAGACTGAGGAAAGAGGAAGATGAATGGAAAACAAAGAACATAAAGGGACATGATGAGGGAAAATGGCATATTTAAATAATATGATATTTTGGTGACAAACATCATGTCCTTCATAAATGTGCATATTAACAATACGGTATTTTCGTCATCATTAACATTGTGAAGTTTGTTTGCATTCCAAGAAAAGCAAAAGACCATGAATTTAAGGTAAGCCGCAAAAATAAAACTCAACATGCACAAACCCAACAAAACAAGCACATAAGAAAAAACATTCATAATAAATAAATAGCACATATGTATCAAAAATCTTATATACAAGTTGTATTTAGGCAAACACACCCCTCATTCAATATCTAGAAGAAATTTAAATATATGGACGAACAGTACATCATAAGAGATAACCATGCCCCTAATAAGCAGTTAGAGTATGAACTCGCCTCTAGATAAGAATTGGATTACCTATGAAGATTCCATGAATGTGCAAACAACTATCACTTCTTGTCACAACCCGGTCGGATATGACCTGATAAAGCACAGGTCATACCGTGTCCGATTGTAGCAAACTAACCAAGAACTAGTTTGAGAAGTACTGAAATAAAACTTACAATTTATATATTATACAAAGCCCCTACTGAATGCAATATAAGAAGAAGAAAACTACTGAATCTCAAAATGATTTTTTAATATCATCCAAAATATATACAATTTAAAATTTATCTATAACAACGCTTGTTAAAAAAGAGAATAACAAAATACAAGATAAGCTTGCAAAAATCAAAACTAACCAAAATATACTTACAGCACATATTGGAGTCTACTATCCAATTAAAATGCTTAGCTCACTTCTTACCTTTCCCCTTGACCAAAAATGAAAGTAGAATCACGAATAAACTAATACGGCTCAGTAGGCTATCGTAGCATAAAACATAAATCAATAATTGAAACCAAAAGAAAACAGAAAATATTGTTCTATAATTATAAAATAAAGTCAAGCATAAAAAAATTTTGATAACAAATCTCACTTTGAAAACCCACTAACTTCGGCATAATAACACTTCGGTAACATAATCCCATCTCGGCAGTCCACTGGCTCTAACATAAAAGAATCCCACCACGGTTGCTTCACTGGCGCCGCATAACAAAATCTCAACTCGGTCGCCCACTAGTGCCGCATAACATCTCATCACACATCACATCAAATCATAATTCTTTCATAGTTTTCAATGCATTTTATTAATTAAAATCTAATGAGATTAAATCCAAAAATTTTGAAAATGTCCTAACAGTAGACAATAGAAATACTACTAAGCAAAAATTCACAATTTTAAAATATAATAAAATTATCATAGATTGTGTAAAACGTCATTCTAAAGTTTTAATTGAACTAAAGTACCATTCTTTGATCTCAAAATAAATTTGTGTGTGGACAAAATGATTGCTTTTACAAACTCACCCATCAAAAATTTTTCAAAATATACTCAAAATTTTCATAATCTTAATCTCTATAACATATAAAAAGTTACTCAAGAAGTTTTACCAAAGCAAAATTATTCTCATTTTTTGGTAACAAAATTACAAATTTGATCAAAAAATGCCAAAAATATCAAATTAATGATAACTAAATTAAGTAAAATGTAACCTAACTCTAGACGAGCAAATTTTTTAACTGGGTTGATTGATAAAAATCACTCTACAACGATCAAATACTAGCTAATCTCCTTCCTTCCCTCTCTTTTCCTCTTAATTTCCCCAAAAATATTCTCTATTAAACTAAATGAAGAAAATGGATTAATGCTTAAGAAACATAAAATAAGTGCTTTTAGATTTTTTATAAAATAATAATAATCTAATCAATTTTTCATATAAAATTCATAGAAATTTATTTTGGGGATTAAAAAAATTATAGGAAAATATTTATAGAATATCTCATTTTATTTAGAAAATTATGATGAAATCAGTTAGCAAAATGGACACCTAACAGGCCCAAAAAACCCGTTTGTATCGATAGACACCAATTTCTTAAAAAATTTCAACAGTGCCCATAATTTATGAAAATTTTAGTGAAACTAAAACACAATAATACATATGTTATGGAGAAGATGATTTATAGCTTGGATTTATAATGACTCCTGAATAAATTTTTTACTGTTGTAAATAAAAATGTCTTTTTAAATTTTCTAAGTTATAACAATTCTTCTCTCAAAACTTGATCAAATTGTTAAACTCTTATGGGCTATCATAAAAATTTTCTCCCCTCTAAGACAGTAAGATTTTTTTATCCTTCTTGGCATTGGCTCTAACATTGACAAGTTGATCCTCAAGGGTGCATATCTGCTCTAGCACAAAAGCCAATTAATATTCAAATTGTCAATCTCAACATTTGGGTTGACAAATATACAATACTAAGGTTTCCTTTAGGACGGCTTTCTTATTGCTTCTTAAAGTGACTTTTTAATACAAAAATTTAAAATTTTTATATTAAAAATCTGCTTTAAGAAGCAGTAAGAAAATCGTCCCAAATGAAGTCTAAGTGGAATCACATGTGTCAAGTGCTTTAGATTAACAAGATTGATGACTACTTGAGTAAGTATTTATGGGTTGGCTACATAATGAGCTCACACCTAGCGGGACTGCTCATCTAGGCAACCAGAACAGTCTTTGCAATGATCATTGTGCTTTACTTCTCTATATCATCTCTGATCTATATTTCCATAGTCACACTTTTTGTATTAAATGAGAAGTTAGGAAGTTGAAATTCTATGTTCAAAAAACAAAGAGCGGCCTCGACAAGCAATTGCTGTATATCTTTTACCCATGGATAAGAATTATAGACTAAACAGACTCAATATTTCTGCTCTTACTCTACTATAGTGGGCAAGAGGCTTCTGATCGTAGTCCAATTCAAAGTTAGCTCTTGCTCTAATTGTGATGCCTTTTACTAAGTTTCTCATCTTTTCCTTGACAAAATGCAACATTTGCTCTTCACATTCACTTAGGCCATCTAAAGCTTGTGAATGAGCCATCAATGCAATTTGTGATTATCGAGTTCGCAACCCTTTGAGTAGGAGAATAGACCATCTCTGATGGGTGGGACTGATAAGTCTAATTGAAGTGGGTAAAAATGAAGAATGGTCTCAAGAAGGAGCCCTCACCCATATCTATAGATCACCACACCTATTGGATTTGGGGGACATCATGGTCAAATTGACATCATTATTGACATTATAAATGGGGCATCATTCTTAATGAGAGAATAAAATAGAATAGTTAAAACTATCATTTTCTCCCTTTTGTTTGGTTAAAATAATTAAAGTTTTTCTTTTTTTGATTCACTATTCAAAGTGGAAATAAAATAAATGATCTAAATTTATACCTTAATAATTAGATTTAGATGGAGTGAGTAAAAATGGTAGATCGAAAGAAGGGTTTAAAGATACCCGCCTAGAGTCAGTCGCCTCAATGATCTAATCTTCCATTTGCATTCAACACTTTCCCCTATTCTTTCTTAATAAATCTTTTCTCACAACTACTGCTCTCACCCACAATGCCAAACAATCTCAATTTTGCTTACAAACCCTTTCTGCATAGCCGAACTTTTCCTTCACAGAAATCGCACTATGCCGCTCCCTTATATAGGAGCAATTATTACGTCAGGTCACTTGACGCATCCAGAGACCAATCATCACGCGCCACGTCACCTGAAACTCGGTATTGCTCGGTATACATCCAGATTTCCAATTTTTTGTCCGGACGTAATAATTACTCCTATAATGTCCGAAATCAATGTTCCACTCACCCACAAAAGCACACTACCTATTTCTTCTTCGGTTCTTCCCTTCACTATGCCGAACAATACTACAGTAATTCCTGTGAATTCCGCACAATAGAATAGAAGTAGATGTAGCCCACACGTATCTGCTCTCTCACACCCATCTGTTTAAAAGCACCTATCCAAGAATAATACTAACCTAATATAAATTTAAATCTTTACTTAACCATTTTTATTTAACAATAATTTAACTGTTATTATTTAATTTAACAACAATTAATATTAACTTCAAAATTTTAGGATATACTTACATACCTAAAAATTTGGATCTGACACACTGAGTATCTCCTACTTACTAGGTGTGCACCTTTTGTTGAAGATAAGTTCTACGACGAATATATCAAACACAAGATCTTTTGATACATGTACCTCAAACATGCAAGCTCTTTTGAGGCGAGAGCCTCTGAGGTGAGATTTATTATTATGTGCAGAGTCCAGAGAACGTCTAGAGACCAATAAAAATGTGCCACATTGCTCAAAAAATGTACTTCGCTGGATACTGACTCGATACCGCTCAGTACCCAGCGTTTAACTAGATGAGAGAACCATCCGATGTCTGCACAGAATAGTACCTCATGAGGTGGATGCATCTTGGTTAGCGCAACTGTACTCTAGATAAATCCCTCTTGAGTGGAGTGAATGCTCAATTTGGTCAAGTTTCTCTAAGACGAGTTTGCTTGATCTCCTTTGATTCCTTATTCAGCTCCATAACTCACTCAAATCCGAGCATAGGGGTACACATTAAGGAGAGGCATTTATAAAGGTCAAAATTTCGGCACCATATTTTGATAAATTGTTTTATCAGCATGAATTTTAAAATAAACAAACAAACTTTATGATGTAAAAGATAAAAATTTTGAAAAGTACGCAATATTTCTTACATGATTACATTACATAAATCAATGTCACACTATACATAAACTCCACCCTGACAAATAGGGAATGGCTACTACTGTGCTTGCAAGCATGCCTTTTTAATAAATACAAGCCAAAAGAGAACCACGTTTTTCTCACAAAAACAGATACATAAAATTGCCCAGTAGATAAAATTTACAAAAAAATGTTATAATTTAGGCTTTGTTTGGGATGGATTTCTTAATGCTTTTTAAAGCATTTTATAGTAAAAAATTAAAAATTTTATACTAAAAAATTGCTTTAAAAACATTAAAAAATCCATCACAAACGAAGCCTTAATCTCTAGTAGTCTTATCGAAGTAAGCCGTGATTGATTTTAGCTTTCCATTTAAATAATTATTCTCGACCTGCAAGCAAAAAGCACGATTAAGCTTTAAAAAATCTGTAATGAAGGGATTTTAACAGGTCTTCCTAATGTTTTTACATGAATTATCTCAGAAAAGATGGCAAAGATTTAAAAAAAAAAAAAACTGCAGCTAAAAGCAAGGTCTCTCTCTCTCTCTCTCTGTGTATTATGGGATCCTGATATTGAAACTATCATTTTTATCTTTTTAAATGATGTTAGTCGTGATTGTAATAGAGAAGGGTAACGGTTAAAGAGATGCTATAATACCAGACATCATGAAGGAGCAAAATCAACAAGGAAACAATCAGAACAAAGTACCTCCAGGTTCCATGGAGGATCAGCTAACATAGAAAGGTCCACCAATTGGCTCAAATTCACATTTCGAGGAAGAAACATTACAACTTTAGCAGCAATCATGCTTGCAATTTTAAAAAGATAATACCTGATTCAACAAAGAAAAGTTATCGTAAAGGATAAAATTGTAATTAAAAAATTGCAAGAATAAACATGCAAGAAGGAAAAGACCAACCCATCACGAGGCCTGAGTAAACTCATATCATAAGCCTGCATTTTAGCATAATCTGGACCACCCCAAGGGGGAGACAAGAAAACAACATCACCCTAAATAGAAGCAAGTAAAAAATGTAAAAAAAAAATTATTCAGCCAATGAAAAAGAATAAGAGAGAACATTTATTATAGGATTAAAACACCTCAAAAAAAAAAAAATCAAACACTTGATTAATTGTATAAAAATCTCATTTTCATATGTTAGTTGATGGTTATTTTATACTAATTTATGAACAAGAATGCAGGGAAAATCAACTATAATTCCTTGCCATATTTTGATCTTGCAAACTATGTATTCCTCTCCTATTCTTTCGATCTCACTTTCCATTTTCAAGATTAAGGACTTTGTAATCGTAGGAAATAGAACTGAATCTTCATTCAACAACCTAATTGAGAGAGAGAGGGAAGGGAGAGAGAAAAAGAATGAGAGTGAGATTGTAGAGAGACAATGTATGAATAAAATTTGAGAGAGTTGAAGTGACATTCATCAATTTGTTGTCTAATTTCAAAAAGCAAATTGGTGGCCTTTGTGATTAGCATACACAATAACAGAGAGCGAATTGGCTCTTTAAAATATTAAATCCTCATTAGCCTTATTCCAAATATTTTGAGTGGACTTCAAGATAATCATCTTCATTAATTTTGATTGGACATTGATCAATTTTGCTCTTTTTCTACCCATGCTATCCTCACTTTAACTTTTTTTCCTACTCCCACAATAATTTTATCTACCCTTCTCAATAATGCATTTGTTGTGCAGAAGTCTATTATTCACTATATAATTCTTAAATAAATGCTATGCCACAATTTATCATATAACATATTTTCCCACTCTACATTTTATTATTTTGAAGTACATCAATCTCATCATTCTTAATTTTGTCACAGTTAACTAGATTATCAAAGACTTTTGATCGCCGCACTAGATCCATATATCATAGTGAGCATAATTATAATTTAATAAAATAAACATTTTTAGGTCCTCGTGAAACTATTCTATCACAGTGCTCTGAAAAAAGTCACCATTTTATACATCAAACCTTAAATATTAAATTTATAACCTATAATTAAAACCAGATGGTTCAAATGGTTGAATCATGAACTAATTCTCCGGCCACTCTAGTATCCTAATTGAACCAACACAGGAACGAGACTCGATCAAAATAAATGGAACCAAAGTTGAACCGCTGAACTACTGAATTGATTGAGATTTTATTGAATCAACCAAATACATTTAGAATCAAATTATCACCATTAACTATTGATCATACTATTAAAATTAATTTTTGACATAAAGGACTTAAAAATAAATAAAGGATTAAAATTTAAAAGATAAAATTGTTATATCTCAAGCATAAAAAATTGTAATAACATACTTACAACCTATCCCAATTCTTGATTTTTTTCCGACTCAAAGCCGAATCTCCAGCAACTTCAATGGTTCAACCTTTGCAAGTTCATTGATTGACTTTGCCCTTCAACTCCGGGCTTCAAAGGCTCACCAACCTCATAGAGACAGATTTTATCAACCTTCATAAGGTCTCAATCTGTGAATCGTGAATTTGTCGGTCTCATAACTTGATTAATATTTTTTTTTTTTTTTCATTTTGAGTTACATATTTCTACTTTCTTTGTAAAGATTTTTAATTCGTTAGACCGATCTAAATAGCAACAAAAATCTTTCTTTTTTTAATTTTTTTTTTATAGCAACAAAAATCTTTCATCCCATAACTACGACGCACCCACACTTTTCCTCATAGAGGCATGCTGTATCCAACACGACACGCGTCAGACGAATGTCCGACAAGCAAAAAATGTGTCCAATTAAAAACAGATAAAATACAAATTGGACACTCATTTTTTAAATATTTTATGATTTTTTAAATAAAATTTCTTGTGTTTAAATTTTTATTTATTTAAAATATAAAAAATAATTTTCTTATTCCTATCCACAACACCAAATTAATTATTCGCACTCAATACATCATTCATCAGATTTTCTCATTTTCATTTCTTTTTGACGGGTCGCGACTTTGGTTTCAGAATAATACTCGATATCATCTCAACATGGACGTCTGACGTTGTTACAACATCGACATTTCAAAACAATCTCAACATCAATATCTGACAGTCTTGACATTGATGCTCGACGCTAGCAATTTCTATACCCACAACTTGATAAGTCATCTTTGTCTGACGTCGTCTTAACATAGACAACCAACGCCCTTTTAACATTGACGACAGACGTCCTCTTGACATTAACACCCGATACTTACAGCATAATATCGATGCCCGACTTTCGACATCATTGTTGTCTACTCTATCAATGACTAATCCACAGCATAGACGTCCGACTCTTGACATCCTAATATTAATCATTTTAAACACAAATTTCAATTAAATGATTTATTATTTTTAATATTATACTTATTCAATTTTATATGCCATTTTTTAAAATATAAATATTCTAATAACATGTCCAACCCATATTCGTGTCCTATATTTTCAATAATTGTCGTGTCTTGTATTCGTGTCTTATATTCGTGTCATGTCATATCCGAGTTGTCGTGTCCGTGCCTGTGTATCTAGTAGACCCAAAAATATGAATCTCTTGAACATAAAAAAATTATAGAATAAGCCCTCTATGTTCCCCCCCCCAAAAAAAAAAGCTTAACTACTATACCCATTCCAATAATATCTACTTTTATTGCTCTCTCACCCCATTCCCATATTCATACTTCTCATCTATGCCTAGAAGCACCAACCAAATCCTCCTCAAGCCTTAGCTGACTTCCCCTCTTCCCCTTAGTCTCTAACAACCCTACACCACTCCCCATCTCTATTTCTCCCATCAACCCCCTGAACTCCCGCTCCTTTGCTCATTGTCCCTAGCACTGCCAATTGCCAACCAACCACCTACGTCCTCATCCACCACCAACCCCTCCATGTCGCTCCACCATCTCTTCCTTCAATCATCCCCGTCTTCCCTAGTTGCCATCATGCTAGCAGCCACTAGCCTCTACAAACGCCAGTGCCCTAGCCTCCATCACCACGCTTACACCTCACTCTGTTTTTCTTTCTCTTTCTCTCTTATCTCCAGCTTCTCTCCTTTCTCCCACTTCACCCCCTCTCTCTCTCTCTCTCACTTTCTATCCCTCTTTGTAACTCTTTCACACTTTTTGTCCTCTCTCTTTCTCACCCACTTCTCTCTCCCTCACTCTCTTTGTCCTTTTTACCTGTGGTGTATAAAGTGCATTTATCTCACCTCGCCAAGTCCTCACCATCGTATCATCATCATCTACTTCTTATGCAAAAGTATAAAACATACAACATTCAAAACTTTCAAAAATATTGATTGCAACACATTTGGCGCAATGAGCAAAACCTGTATGCAATTTTTTTATTACGATATGGGCAACTTATAAGCGACAATCACAGCACAATGAATAAGCCATGTGTGCACTTTTCTTAATCTCAAATCTCTCGTATGGATCTCCCATGTGCCCCTTTATTGGCACGATAAGTTTTAAAAATAACAATTTTGTTTCTTCAAACACTACCTATGTGCAACTTTCTTAGCATGGTGGGCAGGTCCAGACTCCCCGTATCTGCCCACTACAGGGGCAGATACTAGGAGATTGTTGAAATTTATACTAGTAAAGAACCTAAAAAAGAATAAATTAAAAATGTCATGCAAAAAAAGCAACTAAAAATGAAAATGATAAACACAAAACACGCAATTTGAACAATATGAAACATAGATTGTGGCATGCATCATGATGAATCAGGATGAAATTTAAACAAACACAAAACTTATAGTAGTTCATAGTGGTAACAAAAGTTTTTCTCACTGAATTTCAACTATTTATTGACATATTTTCTCGCCGAAAATTGCCTGTTTTCTTGTTGTGCATCTATTTTGATAAACTAGTGGTAATCAAGTTTAAGCTATAAGATCTTCATTTTATTATGATATTAAATAAACAAAAAAGTACCTTGCTTAGTGGTATAATATTCAATAATCAAAGTATTTCCTTGCTTCGTGATGTGCATTTTTATCTTAATCTTATACAGTGGTGTGGCATCATGTACTTTAGAATATGCTTATTTTAACATGCATCAAATACCTTTTGTTGTGGTTAGGAATATGTAAGTTTTGAGACTTTTGGTATCATTAAATTCCATAGCCATGATATAATTAAGGAATCTTCTACATCCAATGTCAAAAACCAAGATCAACATTGCTTGGTATGGGACCAATCAAGCAACCAAACTTTCTCTTTCTTTGAGAAATATTTTCACAATCTAGACCAAATAAGGTGATTTCTTCCATTCAAATTTAATGATGATTGACAATTTTGGTACTCACCTGCTAAGGTTTGATTCGGGCTTTTTGATTGATCAACAAATTCTAATATAAAAGATATTTTCTTTAAAGAGAAAATTTTCCTCTTTTGAAAGTTGGTAGTTGCTTTTGATGGAGCAACGATGCTTAAAATGGAGCAATAGGTGGAGCCGTGGAGGCAATGATGGATCAAGGAGGCAAAAGATTGGGAGGGAAAAAAGAATTTTTGGGGCTGCTCAAATAAAAAAATTGAAGAAATATATTCAAGATTCCTTTATTTCTAGAGCTGTAATATCATGAAGAGATGAAAAATGATTGAAATTTTGTGTATTTCATCAAGAGTTTTCCCCTCTATTTATACAGTAGAATTCTATGCTACTATTAGTAACTTCTACATAACATTAGAATTAAGAAAAATACTCCATAGCTTGCACACAATTATTTTCCGAAGAGAGATTTCTGTTCCCTTCAAGAGGCCTATGGATTGTCAACTTGTCAACAATAATGGACTACTAGCATTAAAATCCCATGGATTGAAAAGTTGGCCTCTAAAATTACCAACACTTGGTGATTCTATTCATTGTGCTAGGGCTGTCAACATTTGACCCGACCCGAAAACCCGAACCGAAAATTTCGGGTTTGGGTCAACCTGAACCCGAATATATATATATATATATATATATATATATATATATATATAAAACACATGTTATGTTCAATGAATCTGAGAGCACATGTAAAGACCTGCAACACCTACTTCTAAGCTGCATAAAACATGATCCCCTTAACCATCTCATTGTTACAACTAGAGGTATAAACAAGTTAGAGCCAACTATCTGCCTAATTGAGTTAAGCTTGTTTAGTCCTTATTGAGCTCAAGCTCGGCTTGATTGCTCAAACTCATTTGGAAAGCTAGAACTTGGCTCAAATGTTGAACTTGATTTATTAGTTTAAATTAATTTTTTTAATATGGAATTAATTTTAAAATGGTAAAATATATTATATAATGTTAATTTAAATTAAATTTTAAATATATTTTTATTAATCGAGCGGCCCAATGAACTCATTTAACATACGAGCTCAAGTAGAGGCTCAAGTTCAAACTCTTGGCTCGATAAATTCGACTCACTAACGAGTCGAGCTCAAGCTGGCTTGCGAGCCGGCTCAGCTCACTTATGCCATAGTTGCAAATGCTGCCCCTCTCCCTTGCATGGGTTCAGTCCAACATAGCTAAAAGAGCAAAAGTATTATAAGAGCTTGAATAAATGTGAAGCACAATCAATTTGACGACATAGTGAACAATCTTCTCTATGAGGTATAAAAGGAGGTCTACACAACAATCTCCCCTCCTCCCTTTATAATTCTTTCTTGCCATCTCAATCTTCTCATATGTTAATTCGCCAAGATACTTTTGTCCAGAGAAAGCAAAGCTAGACTATAACATCCATTTTCTTCTTTTTATTTAGGGTGTGGAATTCCCTTTATGTTGTTGTCAATTCAAATGTGTTTTCTTTAAAACCTATAAATCTAGTTCAAAAGTATCACATACACCCAAGTTTCTTTGCATGGAGAAAAAGTCCTCACTCGCTTAAGTATTACCCTCATAAACACCAATTATTCCTTCTTTCTAAGCATAGGTAGGAGGCCTCAATATACATTACCTAGCACCCCTCCCTGTCATGTTTCTTCATTATCATTATAATCAATGAATTATGTTGACTCAAACATCAAATCCACTATAAAACTCCACACTTCCTCTTATATATAACTCAGAAATAATTCAAACAAGGAACTCTCAAGTGAAATTATATACAATCAACTAGACAAAAAATATTCACTTCTCTAATTACCCACGACTCGCAAGGAAAATGCCTAACATATAAAAAACATTTTAAACAAACAATTGAAGTGAGCATACCAATATTTCAACAAAAAAAGGTAGCACGAATCATATAAGATAGAAAGTAATATTGCTCAAGGTATGTATCGTAGCAAAAATTATATAAATTCCATATAAAGCTCATTTGAATGGGAAGCAAGTAAATGGCCAAAATTGCGATGTATGTGTGGACCAATCAGAGCAACATAGCGATCAAACACAATGTCATTGCTCAAACTAATATCATGTCATATCACCTAGTGGGACTTACTATTCCACATCACGCCATGTTAACATGCTCCATGAATATGTGATCGTCATGACATGTGATGCCCTTTAGACTTGCTGAATCATTTAGATTTGATCATCCATGTCAGAACCCAATTGATTATCTTGCAAGTGCTATTTTACATGAGGCACTCCATGGAATTACCAAATTAATGATTGTCAAAGAGAAAGTTTATGTTATATCATTAACTAAATATGCCCATATATAGAAAAATAATAAAAGAAAAGGATAAAGAATAAGAAGGACAATATTCTCAATTATTAGGATATATTACAAAAATAAAATATATTTTTAATCTAATAACTTTTCTACAATAACACTACTCCCTGCAAGCTAGGGCATATATATTAGTAAGCTCATTACAAAGACTAGAAAACGAAGAGTTCCTAAAGCATTCATAAAAATATCATATAATTATTCTAATTATCCTTTGTACTAATTATCCTTTTTGATAGGACGGCATCTAATGAACTCACAATCCACTTTAACATGTTTGTTTCTTTCATAGCTGCAATGCAAATAGTTGCTTAATTATCATAGTTAAGGATCACAGACTATGTTATAAAGAAGTTGAACTATTCCATTAGAGTTTTAATCCTCATCATTTTGCATGTAGAATGAGTCATGCCCATGTATTTAGCTTCAGAGTTGGATACTGCTAAAACAATTTATTTCTTACTTTTTACATGGCATGAGATTTCCATCTATAAGGTCACAGCATCCTGAAATAGCCTTTTCTAATATTCAATAGATCCAACATAGTAAACATCGATATAAGCTTTAGTCCTTCAGTCATTCTGTTTTTAATTGATGAAACATTTTAACGGAGATTTTTTATAAATCTTAAACTTATATAATATCCAAGTTTTCCTTATTTGGGTTTTGATTATTTTGAATTATGAAGCAACCAAGAAAGGATACATCAGGTAAACTAAAAATCAGATATACAAGCTTGCCAACTAGATGCCTATTTTGAGAAAACATATTCAGAGCCTTTATCATTCTTGTATGATTGCAGGCTGGCCATCGAAGAATTAATAGGCTTACACCCAAGAAGACTAGCTTCTTAAAGAAGGCATTTACTATAATTTCTTTAGAGAGAGAAACATCTTCTTCATCATATGTAAACTTAATAACAAGAAGACAAACTTTGGAGGTTGCGGAGTATGCATAAAGAAGCATATGTTGGAAAAATTCCGCATGACAGATAAATGGTTAAGACTTAGCAAAACAGTAATGCCTTTTTGAGATTATAAAGGGGAAAATTTAATTGATTCTCAAAATAATTTGTGCCTTTATATAGATGAACACGAATAATAGAAAGGGAAGGATTTAATATTAAATATATTCTCAATGAAGAGAATATTATTGCATAATAATGATAAAATAACCTCATTAAAATTTTTCAATCTAAAATATCTCCATGATAACACATTTTGCAAGCAAGCAAAAAAAAAAAAAACAAGTAGATAGAAGATCCCAATAAAGCCCACATCGCAATTACTTTATCATGAATTATTATAGTTGCCAGTTCATATTATATACAAATATTTCAAAGGGAAGGTGTGCATCCAAAATTGTAACCATGTAAACAGACATTCATTTAAATTAAAAAGGAATGTGAGATATTCTGATGAAACAATTGGATCCATAATAACTAAATAAACTCCATGCTAAAATTATCCATATATGAATAAATACACAAGTCAAATGGAAAAGATGTTTTTAGTAAGAGAAATTGCACAAATTACCTTTAAGCTAGGAGCTATCTCGAAAAAATCACCCTTTATGAAATCAATCCTCTCACTGACTTCATAAATAACAGCATTTTGCTGTGCGTACTCAATTTTTTGTGGGTCAACATCAATCGCAATGACATGATTACTCCTGAAATAAAATTATTTAGAAATTAATTTAATAGAGCATACAACAAAAAGTTATCTTGGCACTAAAAATATTTGTTGATGATAACATTTACAAAAAACACTACACCTTTTTTTTTTTAAACACTACACTTAATGCAACTCATTCTGCAGCTATAAGCCAAAAATTACTTTCAAGATACATATTATTTGAAAAAAAAATTATGATATCAGTCTTCTAACTTCATCAATACCAGCATATACTGTGTAATCAATTTTATGCAGATTAACATCAATTTAAATGTCATGATTGCTCCTGAGATAAAATTATTTCAGAATTACCTAGAAGTAACATAAATGGCTATAAGTCACTTCATCTTCAATTTTGGACAATCTGCTTGAAATTTCATGTCGCGTTGACTTTTAATTATACATCATAACCATTTAGTTATATATCCGCAATACATTTTTAAAAATTTGAATTTAATTATTTTGATGGACTTTTAAATGTATATGAATTACTTCTAATACTTTAACATACATTTTGGCGTAAGTTACTAGTAAGAAAAAATGGAATAAGAGAATAGTCTGCAGTTTCATCAACTTTTAAGCATTTTTGGGCAAGATGTTACTCAAAAGTTATCATTTTGAATGGATTTTTAGGATATGTACTTTATTTCTAATAAATAATTTAAAATTATTTATTTCTTATCACTATCTCTTGAAGGCATCAATTGAGAAATACTTCAAACTACAAGAGCATTATTTTCAAACCTCATAAAAAATTCATATGGATATTAACCAGAAAAAGTCAAGCTCTATTGCTAAATAATTATAAAGATGTAACAACAAAATTAAAATCATGGTGCTTTGCCATTAGAAATCATAAATGGCATAAATAATTCTAAATCAACTAATATCCGACCATGAATTACATGCCAATAGGTACCACAAATCATGCCCTTTGCCAATTGGTCTCAAAACATCAATTTTTGCATCAATTGGCATAAGAGCATAATCCAGCATCATTTAGATGCATATTGAGACAATAAATATAACAAAAAATTTGAAGTGGACAAAGCATAAGATTTTGTCATCACAAATATAATACTAACCTCATGGCAAACTGAATTGCATTTCCACCAACTCCAGTGAAGCAATCAATTATAGTTCCAGAGCCGCATCGAACTGCATGATGCTTAGCAATTAATTCAGGTGTTACAGAAAACCAGCTTTCCTCATCCATCTTTATACCATAATCAAATCTAGAAAATAAAGAGTATCTTTGGCGCCAGTACTTGACTAAACTATCAGAGAGATACTCTGTGCGTTCTTGCAGTTTCTCTGAGAAGTTGTCAAATAAAGATTTAAAAGTGTTAAATTGATACTTAAAAAAAAAAACTTCTTAGATAAGAAAAAGTAAAATATGGCATCAAAACTCAACAGTTCAATAAGAAAATATACAACAAAAATACTAAATCCATTCTACAAAAGACTTTGAGCATAAAGTACAATAAGCATACAAGTTATTCATAAAAGGCATAACTCTCATCAATATTATAATAATTCATTAATTGCATGAGAGCATTATTAGGAAATGATAAAAACGCAACGGCTACTCTGGACGATGCATTTATAAGATGCTTTATTTTGGTTGGAGCAAGGTGAAATTAAGCCTGCATATAAGAGCTCACCATTTATTATATTATTATCATCATCGTCCTTATCCCAACTATTTACGTTTCAAATTATTAATCCTCATTTTATATTCATACTTATTAAGTGTTGATTGAGATATGTAAACTGTTATTTTCAAATTATTTAACGTTAGTTTTTTCATTCTATGATCCTATCCTGACAATAATTTATTTACTAATCTAACTGATGCATTTTTTTTTTACTTTTTGTTGTACACATCCAGACCACAAAAGTTTAATTTTAATTATTTTGACTTCAATAATAATTTTAATATTTTCTTTAACAAAAAATTTTCAAAATAGTCCCTAGATTACTCATGTGTGGCCAATTTAGTTCTAGAGTATCACATTGCTCTAATTTAGTCCTTCAACCATGTAAAGTTGATTGAAAATCCCTTATCTTGTAATTTTGCTATAAAATTGATCCCAAATTAGTCTCTTGACTATACATAATTAACCCAATTTCAATTTTGTATAGTCGAGAGATTAATTTGAAGCAACATGATACATTGACGCCAATATAACTATATACGAATATTTGAGTGGACTCTTTTGAAGTTTACTCATTTTCTTTAATATAATTATTCATTAATTTACCTTTCCTAATTTTGTCACACATCCATCTTAACATTTTGACTCCAGTCACATTAAGCTTAGATATTAACATTTTTTTAAAGCCAATCACTCAAATCCATAAAACGTCGTCAGTTTAATTATTATTTTCTAAAAATTAACACTAAGCTCCATAAGATTATGTTATTACACAAAACACATGAGCCATTTTTTAATATTAAATATCCAATCTTAACACTTGAAGTTCTATCCACATTTATATCTAAATATTTATGTATAATAAATCTAAGTTATTTAAAAATATCACACCTTGGTATCATCATATATTTTAATAATACAACAATAACATCAACCTTTATCCCACTACGTGGGGCGGGTTACATAAATCTTTTTTCTCCATTGGTCTTGTTAAAAGTTAAATTCTCATTTAAATCTTTATTTCTAACCAAATCTTTTTAAGTCTACTTCTACCTTTCTTAACATAATAAAATTTAATACATCTACTTTCCTAACTGGGTCATCGGAAGGCTGTCATTTTATGTGACCAAACCATCTAAGGCGACTCTCTCTAATGTTATCTTCCAGTGGAGCTACTCCACCCTTTTCACGTATATGCCATTTCATATCCTGTCTCTAAGAGTAAATCCACTCATCCACTCGAGCATCTTCATTTCTACAGCACTTAACTTAATATTATGCTTCTCTTTAATGGCCAATATTCTGCACCATAAAGCATTGCAGGTCTAGCCACCATCTTATAGAATTTTCCCTTAAGTTTGAAGGGGGCTTTTCTATCACACAACAAGCCTGATGCATTCCTCCACTTCAACCATCCAACATGAATTCTACTAATAGTATCCCCATCTATTTCACCATCACTCTGAATAATAGATCCAATATATATATATATATATATATATATAATGACTTGATCGCCCAAAGTCACAATCC